TGGTTTATGTTGATTTAGGTTTGGTTTAGGTTTAGAGGTCTACGGTTTAGGGTTTGGTTTAGGGTGTATTTAGGGTTGGTTTAGGGTTAGTTAGGGTTGGTTTATGGTTGGTTGCGGGTTGGCTTGTCTTGGGAATGGGGGTGCCGGGGTGTTGGGGTGCGAGTTCAGCGGGTCGGGGTGGGGGTGAGACCGTAGGCAGGATCCGGGGGCTCGGGGTCTTGGGCCGGGGGGGGGGTTCCTGGGGGACGGGGGGGTAGCAACACGGAACACGGGACCATATATAATGTATGTACACATTATGCGAGGATAACCTTCAGACACCTGTAGAAGGCGACCTTGCACCAATACCTATCAGTCTGCAACACCAAAAGGGACATGGCCCTAAAACCCTAAGACCGATACTCTGGCTCTGTATTTCGCACCCTTAGCACATTTGCATCTGGAAATAAAAAGCCCCACTACAATTGAGTTCTTGATGTGTTCAATCTCGGCCTTCCAGCCCCAAACATCCCAAAGAAACCCTAAGGAACTGCACCTCACGCTGGTCTGGGTAGCTCGGCGGATGCCTGCACCTGTCTGGGAGTCTCTCATACCAACGCGGACTTTTTCGCTGCTTCCTGTCACCCGCTTTCAGCGTGGTTTGCGAAGGATTTCGAAAGAAGCAAGTGCCATTTTGGGTGGGACACGGTTCTGATACGTCTCTCAGTTGCCCAGTGACTTTTCGGAAAACCAATGGTGCGGATATTGAGTTCGTTGAGATTCAAAGTTTCTAGTCAGCTGCCCTCTTGGTGGTTTGGTGTTAAGCGGGTGTCAAAAGCTGGTACAAAAATGGTGAACCCCAAAACCATGTCAAGAATTGACATTGTCGGCCGCACCTCTTTATGGTTGGGACTGTCCCTTAACAAGCTTGCTAACCTGCACTTACCCGGGTTTTGATTGTTTTTGGCTGTGGGTCAAAACCCCCCTGGTGAACATCAAAATTGGCAATTGGATGTTCATCCGCAAAATTGAGGCATAGGGTGATTGCCCCATGGCCATTTGGCTCTCGGCCTGCTTCCCACTGCAGTCCGAAGATGTGGAGATGTGGATGTCCTGGCCAACACCTTCCTCTACGAAGCACACGTAGCCCACGTAGCCTGCAGAACGAATGGGTGAGGCGCTGGCCTGGGTTCAAGGGGAAATCAAGTGAACACCCCCAAATTTGAAATTCAAATTAAGTGCAACGGGAAACTACTTGTTCTTATACGCAATTCAACAGGAATCTGTTGTTCCAAATGACTATGGTTGAATGGGTCTTTGAAGACCAAAAGACGTGCTTGCTCAGCGCTATGCGCTTCTTGTTCAGGGTACCCCTTTTCTGGGAGTGACGCGGAATCCAGGATTGATAAACCCATGGTTGACTCGTGGGGAAGTGCCCCCTTTTAGAAGGGGATGCTTCACCATTTCGTGGAAACAGTGTGGAATCCCTAAGGGGGGTAGGTACAAGGGGGGTGGGTAGTTAAGAGCCCTAGCGAGCCTTAGGGAATCCCCTCCCAGCCCCCCCTTGCGGACTTCATCAAAACATCATTCTTATTGCATGCCAGTTTCTTCTATCTGAGGTTGATTGGTTACCGCTACCGGTTTGATGCATCACCTTTGGGCCTTTTGGGTGATGTTTAAGGGGCAAGTATCTGGGCAAATCACTATGACTCCCAGGAGGCTGGGTGTTTGAAAATTGGGGCCCCCTCTTTGGATCGAAACCAGCCACCTGGAGGACAGGGCGACCATTTTTGAAAAACACCGATCTTCATCACGTCATGGCCGAGCAAGTTTTTTAAACGGGTTCCTCCACTTCTGCAAAACCTGGGTTTCCTTTTGGTGGAAATGGAACATTTTGGGTGACCAATTCTACATGAGTTCCAACAAATGGGTTCCTTTTGGAGGCTACAAAAAGATGGTTCAAGCTGGAACCCGTTTACTAGAAGCCGTTGAAGGTTTGTTTGAACCTTGTCCTGCGTGGCTTGACGAGACAAAACACTTTGGGTTTGCCGCTAAACATGGTTCAAACTCCAGCGCCGAAAGTCCAGGAACTCAGAAGGTGAATCGTGCCCGAAGGGAAGGGAAGGGAAACAATAGGAAGGAAGGGAAACAATCCGCTGCCCAACCAACATGTAGTACAACCACCTACTAAAACCCAGTCCTTGTGGGCATGGGCAAAAAGGCCGTCATATGGTGCTGGTTGATCTTGATGGGACACCCCTCCAAGCAAAAAAAAACAGACACACCGAGTGGCCCTCCAGCCCGCTCCAACGCGAGCCCAGAACGCCCACCGCCACGTCCGAGCGGAACAGGTTGTCCACCAAAATCTGGTTGGACTGGATCTTCACCTGGAGTCAGCGGACAAGTACCCTCCCACCAACTAACATCCACCACAGGGTCCCTTTGAAAGGACAGTGGTCCAAACCAGGACCCCCCGAAAGGTCAGGTTCCGTGCTAGTTGTTGGCAGGGCAAATTTGTTTAGTACGCAAGATGCTCAATCATTTCACCCGTGTCAGCCTCCCCACTTGTTTGGTGAGCCATGTTTGGCAGGGCAGTCGGTGGGCCATTTCAATACCGACTGATTGGATCAACCTTCCGGGAAGTCTATCAGATCACTCCAATCGGAAGGGGAAAGCAAAGGAAACCTGGCGAAGCATCACGGGTCTTGGGGCCTACCAAACTGAACATGGTAGTTCAAATGATAGCCTTTCTGAAGATGCTAACATATCAACAATAAGGCACGTACTAACAATGCCAACAGTACTGAGAATAACCATCCCCGGAACCAACCTATTGCATCATAGTGTTCTTCGTACTAGCACCTCATGTATATACATATATATGGAGTTTGCGCAGCATACAGTGCTGTTGTTTTGTGTTTTTGCGGGAGGAGCTACCATACACACATTGCAAAAGACACAATCCAGAGATGTGCTTATTTTTGCGAAGCAAGACCCGGTTTGTCTAATTGGGTGCTCTGCACCCTGAAGCACATTGAACAAATAGGAACAGGCCCATTAAAAACACAAACAAACAAACAAACAACCAAACAACCAACCAAACAACCAACCAAACAACCAACCAAACAAACAAACAAACCACGCAACCAACCAAGCAAGCAAGCAAGCAAGCAAGCAAGCAAGCAAACAAACAAACAAACAAACAAACAAACAAACAACAAAGCAACCAACCAACCAAACAAACAAACAACCAAACAACTAACCAACCAACCAAACAACCAACCAACCAACCAAACAAGCAAACAAGCAAACAAACAAGCAACCAACCAACCAACCAACCAACCAACCAACCAACCAACCAACCAACCGACCCACCAAACAACCAACCAACGAACCAACCAACCAACCAACCAACCAACCAACCAACCAACCAACCAACCAACCAACCAACCACCCAACCACCCAACCAACCAACCAACCAACCAACCAACCAACCAACCAACCAACCAACCAACCAACCAAACAAACACACAACCAAACAACCAACCAACCAAGCAACCAACCAAGCAACCAACCAAACAACCAAACAACCAAACAAGTAAACAACCAACCAAACAATCAACCAACCAACCAACCAAACAAACAAACAACCAACCAACCAAACAAGCAAACAAACAAACAACCAACCAACCAAACAAACATGAAATCTCTCCTCTCCGAACCCATCCCCTCCGCCGGCTCAAAGAGCGCCCGAGCGCCTGCTTCTTCACGTCCTCAAAGGTGAAGACGTGGACGTGCCATCGGGAGCCCACCGCGCAGGCGGTGCGGGGCCGGAAGTCCGAGATGGCCTCCTGGGATCGATTCCGCCGCCTGATCCCGCCGATCCGGCCGCTATTTGGCTGTGGCCCAAGTAAGTGTACCAAAAATGGCATGGTAAATGGAACCAAATACTAAAACCTGCGTAACCCCAGCTGTTGATTTTTTTTTAGCCACAGCCATTTGGGTGTGGCTCAAAGTTTGCAATTTGCCAGGGCAAACCGCTGGTTTCAGTGTTTGGTTCCATTTACCCAGGTGCCATTTTGATACCGCCCGGCCGTGGGGGGAACAAAAAACAAAAGAAGCGACGCCTGGTGATAACCATGAAAACAAATGTTGATATATCCACCATGATGTTCCTACTTAAAGCTTTTTGTTTCATCCTTCAACTTGGCAACCAGTCTTGCCTGGAAGCTCCAGTCAAGCTCCATGTTGGTATTGGTGTCCGATTGAAACCAACCAAAAAGGGGGTACCAACTCCAAAACTGCTTGGTTGACGTTGGAAGGGGAGCAACAATTTCAATTTTAGCAGTTAAGTGAAGTTTCAACCACTAAACCACAGTAAGCAAAAATGTAAAATGTTTCCCAACAGCAACCATGATATGGGGGTGTCCCTTCGGCCCCCAGTTTTGACCATGGGTAAGTTTTCCAGTTGAGTGGCTGATATATCATCCTTTCAGTGGATTTCCCCAACGGTCGGCCCATGTGAAGAACCTTCTGATCAACCCCCATATGAAGTTATCTGGGTGTCTTTTCTTAGCTAGCGGGACTTTTTGCGAGATTGGGTTTTCTACAAAGCAGTCTTTTCAACGATGCTCGCATGGCAAGTTGGTTCTGCATCAACTTGGTTCCCATTCAGTGAACCTCACAATTTGACACCATTGAACTAGGCTGTCCGTTTTCACAGGCCCTGCACAAAGTTAAACCTGTTGTGTTAAAAACCTGTGGGCGGCTAGGAACCACATACATATATATATATATATATATGTGTATATGTACATCATGTTTGCTTTCGGTGACACCCAAAATGGTGGTCTTTGATTGAGTTTCCTTTACACCCACCCCACGCAAAATACGACTTAATTATTTACAGATATATACATGTATGTTATGTTGGTATATATATATATATATTATGTATATATATATACATATCCTAACATATATTTGTATAATAGTATGTGTATGTATCTTATATATATATATCTATATGGTGGTTGTTCTAAATTCCTTTGTCTCGAAACAGCCATTCTTCGCGAATAAAAAAGTTACTTTCGCGAATCTTTCGCGGATTCATCGCCGTGCACTTTTCATTGTTCAAGTCGGGAAGTCGTAGCTTTTAAGTACCGGTTTAGTACGCGAAATAAAGTCGCAACTTTTCATCACAAGGGTAGTACATGACATGCACTTCCGCGACTCCAGCTGGAAATTCGCAACTTTTCAGCACCAGTACACGAAATGCACTTCCGCAGTTCCAGCACGAAAGCCGCGCAGCCCCAGCTTGAAGTTGCAAATTTTCATTACCAAGCGAGTACTCTGACTAGCGCGGCGCTCAGAAAGTACCTCCCCTTGCAATCGAAGCCTGCGCTTTCGCGCGGGCTTTCGTGGATCTTTCGCGGAACTTTCGCGAAACATCACTCACGTTTCTAAAGCCACCGACTAACACCCGCACACCTGGAGCACTACCCAGCGAAGCAGGGTATCAAACTGTAGCGCCACCAGGCTTTATCAGGGGACAAACAACAAAATGTTTTAATCAGCTTAGAAGGAAGATTCAGCAGAAAAGATGAGTGTTTTCACATAGTACTGATTTGCAAGATGCAGCTACGCAAAACTTTCGCGAACAAAACAGTTACTTTCGCAACTCCATCGCGAATCTTTCGCGGAGCTACCTCAACCAACACCGATGGTCACCGAATACTAAACTCCTTACAAGGACCTTTAGAACGACTCCCATATAGCTATTTAGTACGCCCCCTTCTGACCAAGACGGTGAGTCCAACTGAGGATGCTTCCAAGACCGCTGCGCTCATTTTGGATTATTCTAGCAGTATCTCAACATCTTAGACAATAACATTTCACCTGTAGAGAAAGCTCGCAAAAACCCAAAAACTAGAGCCCTGAAGGCCAGTTTCATTTGGCTGTGGCTCAACAAACCGGTACCAAAATCGGTTGCCCCGGTAAGTGGAAACCTGGACCAAAACCCGCGGTTTGGCCCTGCTGTTTAATTTTGAGCTACACCCATTTCTAGCCAGATCCCCAATAGGGGGGATCAAACCTCTGTTTGAGGGCGCATGTGTTTTGCGGAAACACAGGCCGAGCCAGTAACCGAACCCCGGTCTTCGCGCAAGCGCGTCCTCAGCGGCCTCGTACCAGGGGTTCACCCGCGCGCGATAGAACCTCACCCAGATACGGCGACGATATCAATTTCGTGAAACGCCATGGGTCTGGTTCCTCCAAAGCAAGACGGAACCCTTGCTTGAGTGCAGTCGGGTGAAAGTACCGTCCCTACTGAAACCTCTGAAAAATCCGAAGGGTTGATTGATGGATCCAAAGACATTATCTTTTAGCCGGGTTCTACTTCAATGGAGCAGGCACAAGAACTGCATGGATAAAGTCACCCCATAAGTGGTAGCCTCAAATTAAAACAGTCAGAATCATGACACCAGAAGAAACACACCAATCAAACAACACAGCACAGTTATCCCCTCGCTTTTCACTTTCAGGCTATGCAGTGAAAGCCAAGGGGAGTCGTGTGGAGCTTGCTCATCTTCACAAGCACAGGCAAATGAAGGAATGTATGTCTGGTAGACATCTACCGAGCCACTGTCAAGTCAGACAGCACATCACAACATCAACGGCGGTCTCCTTCAGACAGCATGACAAATCCTAACACGTGTCAAGTGTCTGAAGAACCCACGAGGCTCATTTCATCAAGCTTCCAATAGCTCCGAAACTTGAAATGGAGTGCTCCCAACATAGGGGGACCCCCCAAAATGGGTGGGTTCGCTTTGGTGTCCCTTCCAAAAGATAGCTTTGCACCAAAACAAATGAACCCAAATACCGGATCCCTAGCTTTCCACCAAAACAAATGAACCCAAATACCGGATCCCTAAGTAAAGACCTTCATGTGACAAAACAAATGCTGTGGATGGACGAATTCAATTTCACACCACGATATGAAACCAGGGTTGCAAACCATGGCTTCTTGGTATTTTTCCAGGGCGAATCCCCTATGAGAAACCAGGGTTTCTGGTCGGTGGTGCGACATGGATTTCGCAACCATCCACAGCATTTATTTTTGTGACATGAAGGTCTTCACCTAGTAGGCATCCGGCATCTGGCCATCCACGGTAAGATATTCTCATGAGAAGCCAAGGTGCGGCCTCAAATACTCTGGGGGCACTTGCATCTGTTGCTGGATCCAGGCACCATAGCTCCTCGAGATCTCAGCCCTACGCCAGCCTCCCCATTTCCACTCCTCAGGGTTTGCTTTGGGTATCTCAAGATAGACTGAAGCCCAGCCCATTTCCTCGAAAGGAGACATTCAGCCTACCAGGTATCCAAAAAGTGGAACCCAGGGTGTACCTCCAGCGTTTTACCCCACAAAGTTGAGTCGTGCTTGGCGGGAACTTGGTCGCCGTCAAGCTCTGCCCTGCCTTCCAAGTCCGGAACCCTTCGTATGCCAACACATGGCCATGGGTCAAAAGCCAAATCGTACCCCCAGTGAACATCCCAATCCAACCACTAAATAGATTCTTAAATGGGTGGTGCACCAGAACCCCCAAAATGGGATACCATGAGTTTTGACCCACAGCCACATCGTTGTCCATGCTGATTAGGAGACTAAGGTTGGGGCTTATCTGAGGGGAAAGAACAACATGCTTTTGACTCTTGACCAACATGGATCCTATTGGCATATTCCCTATGAAGCTTTCATGGCCTGACATCCTTCGCCGCTCGTCAGGCAAACATCTGATTTAAGGCTGCTTCTCGCCAACCAGGCCTGGTAACAGGGTTGTGAGAAAAAGAAGGAAAAAAACAAGGGCCCCCAAGACCAGCACCCCAACTGTACAAGGAAACGCCCGTCGGGCGTGATCCGCACATCGGGATCCGTCCTGACTGTGATTACGCCACATGTCCAGGGTCCGAATCCCTATTTTGACACGTACCCATTTGAGTGCGCGAACGTCCCTTTCAGGCCAACGACCTCGAAGACATGACACACACACGCACATCATGTTTAATTATTGACACTGGCACTGAAAGGCTGGTTGCAACAACACTTTGTCATCAAACATGTGTGTTGCTTTTCACTGGACGGCATGCTCATGTGCAATCTGCCCAGCCAAAAACCAGGCAAATGATGCCAGATGTGCCTATGCCGGAAAATGGGTGGTGTCCTGTTGGTTTCCTGTTGGTTTCCTTTCAAACACAGCCGCCAAAATGGTACCACCAAAACAGGCAGAAGAAAAAACCGACCCTTACTTCCCGGTGAAAAATCTCGCCTTCCAGACTCAACCCCCCTTGCGCCAAGTCCGTTTAAAGGAAACTCACCAAAAAGGGCAATGTCAGGAGACGATTAGTAAACCCCCCCGACTAACCTTGTCGACCTTGAGGGGGGGGGGAGGGGGGGTTTACTAATCAGTTGTCACCATTACCCAAAGAAAAGCTTTTCAAAGACAGGGCATCGACATAGATGGGTCTGCCTGGTAATGTTCAAATGGATGCAGGAAAACTCAAACCAATGTAAACCAGTGGAAACCTTATAGTTGCTTTGGATCCCACATCATGGGGACGGCTCAGGACACAAAAAGGCAATATTGTGAGTTGAAGAGTCCAGCGGAATGGAATTCAACTGAAAGACCAATGGCAAACTCAGTGGAACCGTAACCATCGGAACTCTGACATCGGTTCGTTCGGAATAACATAACCCCAAAACCCCAATGGCAAATTTCCGTGGAACCGGCCCCAAAACCGAAAAACCGAGGCGGAGTAAGACGCGGAACCATCGGATCCAAGGCTCATGTGCTCCAGCTCTCGCAGTGTGGCCCGGGTGGGCCCGAAGGAGGCCCGCAGCAGGAAGCGCGCGTCCCGGGCCCGGGAGCGGTTGGACGTGCCGAGGCCCTCCTCCATCGAGCCGATCGCGGCTCGGACGTGAACCCCGGCGTCGCAGGAACATCGCCCGTTCGATAATTACCACCCTGGATTCCCATGGTGCTACTTTCGTATCGGCCAAACAAAAACGAAGAGCATTCCGCAACCTCGCCCGTGGCACAAATAAAGTCGCCATGTTTTCTGACTCTGTCACCATGTTCGGGCTACCCCAACATATGAAGCCTTAGTTTACACCAATATATATATATATGTATATAGGTAATATATATATATATAAATCGTCACATATGTGTATATAATCATATATTGGTTTGGAGACGCCTATGTTTGGTTTGGAGATCCCAGCAAACAGCCGAGCCGTGCCCGACGGTTTTCTACCCGTGGAGATCACAGCGAGCCTTCAGGAGATCGGCCACCTCCTCTTCCATACCCAGCTGCGCGACGCGGGCCATCTCCTGATTAGAGCTGGGCCCAGTTAGAATGTAGATTTTCTTACCCCTTAAAACTCCAAGCCCTGGGGAAGTTAATCTTTTACAGACATATAGCCCATGTTACCCAAAAAGTTGAAAAGTTGTGTTTTAGGTATATTGTATTGGTTGCTTCACTTTGAGTCACTGGTAACATGTAAAATGTATCCTAAGTCTACCCCCAGTCCTACAGAACGGGAAAAAAACGACGTTTGCCGATACGCCCACTGAAAAGAATCAAACATATACCCTTCCTCCAACTAACATGGCAACATGGCAACATGGCAACTGAGTCGCAATCAAAACCCGGAACAAAAAATGGTCGTAATCCCAGAACCATGTAAAGAACTAAGCAGGCGGCCGCAACTATTTCTGGTTGGGATCATCCCTTACGAACCTTCACTTACCCGGGTTTTGATCGTCGCTCCTTTGCCGATACGTCCACTGAAAATAATAAAACATATATCCAGAAGTGAGAGATTCCCTGAACAAAAAAACAACTGGCGGAAGTAAGACATAATTCTGCCAAGCAAATGGAAGCAAACAAGCAAGGAACAAACATGGGGGGCACGAACCAATGCGGGCCATTTGCCCCACCCAGGTGGGAGTCCCACTTTTTGGTGGTCCAAACATTGACTTTTGGATCTAACGTGGTTTTCAAAGCTGATATAGGCCTTCATTACTTTAAATACCCTGCTCTGGCTGGAGAAGGGAAGCGAGGTCCAAAAATCTGCACTCGAAGGTTTCAGGTTGAGGAATCTAGAAGGAAAACTGATTGTACAAATCCGGATCATTGCCCCGATGGGAAGTCCCCCTGTTAGCCCTCCCCAAGCAACCAATCTGGTTGCGACCTTTACGATCCGGCTGCCGATGTTTGGTGCATTGGCCAAGCAAAGCTCCCCCAGCTTATGGTGTACCAAAATGGTCACCCAAGTGACTTAGGGAGATCAGTCCCAAATTTGAACCTTTGTGCTCAAACCTGTTATGTACTGAAGCTAATGCGAATCTGAACCCAATCAGCTTCCTTCCAATTTGTGTGGCTTCAGCTTCCCCCAGTGTTTGGGTCTGGTCAGACACAAGACCAAGGAGGGCGGACGTTGTGAAGGCCCTGTTCCACTTTTGTGGTGTCAATTGAGAGATCCTCGTATTTTCCGTGATACCAAAATGTGTATGCAAGCTAACCAAACGGCACCACACACAGGCACGCGATAACTCTTTTATCCGAGCAGTGTGTTGGTGCCAGGGACTCATCTTCCCCTGTCAGATGACAAAGGCTGGGTGGGCCCCATGGGCCACCCAACTCACAATCTCAAAAACTGAAGAACGGGTGTGCAGACTGATAGCGCCCGCCCCTGAGCCGGGGCCCGTGGCACCCAGGCCACAGGGGGGTCTGCCACCAGGGGAAGTGAGTCGCCCACCGGCTCCGGTCACGGGAGCATGGGTGGGCCCACGCTAAGATCAAATGCATCTCCATTCAGGAGACGCGGGAGAAAAACGAACTCCTCGCAGAGTTCCTGCTTGGGGACCCTTTGCAAAGGGTCGAACCCAGAGAAATCTGGGTGCGTCAGCTCATCAGCCCATTGATTGAATTCACGGGGCACGTGGTTGGCCGCCAGCGAGCAGCCATGGGTGTGGAGCAGGAAGACCAGCTCCATCAGGATCGCCGCCGTGTAGGGCTTCTTGGATCCAAGGTTGAGCATCGCCATGACGTTGCCCTGGTTGTCACTGCCCACCGGGAGTCGGACCCGGGAGGACAGAGGGCCTTGGTGCGTGAGGATCATGGAGCACCAACCTCCCACAAATGCCAGTCCGTCGTCCGAGGCGCTTGCATCGCTGCAACCCCACCAAGAGGACTTCGGCAAGTAAGGGGAGTACTGGACGAAAGGCGTGTTGAAGAGGAACCGCAGCATGAACGCCAGCATCCTGACCACCTTGGGGGGTTTCCCCACCGTGGTGGTGGCCATCTTCCAGGCCCAAAGTGGCTGGAGCATCGACTTCGCCAGCGGACATGCAGCCGTCGCCCATTGGATGCGACCCAGGGCCTTCTCGATGTCCTTTGAGTGCATCGCCTGCCCTTCCACCATGGTCTGCAAAACCTCCATAACCAGGATGTGTTTGTTGGCTGCCATGAGGACCTGCGGGATGTTCGGGTGGACCACGAAACCCAGCCACGTGTTAACCTCCGCCAAATGCGTCTTCTTCCAGCTAAGCGGGGTGCCCAAGGCCAGGAGTGTTGCCAACAGCGCCACCGCCAAGTTTACTGCCCCCTCGCTTCGAAGCAGCCACAGGAAGTCATCGACAAAGACAAAGTTCCAATCCACTTGAGGGAAAAGGGCGTAGAGGACCCTGAGCAGAAGGGCTGCCAGGCGTCCCCAGTAGGATTGGGCACTGGCCATGCCATATGTGCCTACCTTGTTCACCCACCATTCTTCCCCCAGTGAGGCCACTTGGAACCGCCAGTCCTTCCTGAGGACCTTCACTCTCCGGTGGGCCTTGGTGACGTCCGCCTTGAGCAGCACCCACCTGGTGCCCGGCTCCGGCCATAGCCAGCCCCCAGGTGGAGGTTCGACGACCCCCCTCTCGGGGCCAGGGGCACCCTGAGAGGGGGGTCCCTCCGCAGCTGCCGCATGTAGCCAATGAAGAGCTTGGACCCCATCCAGCACCGTCGGAGCCGTCGTCCTTTCCACCGTCTGGTTCCTGATGGTGTCATTGGCCCCACCCACCGAGCCATCATAGATCGTGCGGATCTTGTCCCCCTCGTCGATGCCCGCCAGGGGGCCGGGGCAAAGGTCCTCGATTTCGCAGCCACAGCGCGATGCTGCCTCCACCTTACTGAAGGGGCCCTCCACCATGCCCATTGGGACCTCCTCCAGAAATGTGCCCCTGATGAGCTCGCTGAAGTGATCCGCCGAGGGGTAGTTACCCGGAACTCCGGCTCCTTCTTGAGTGGCCAGATGCCCGGCGAGGTCAGGGGTGGGTCCGTGACTTTTAGTGGGACCCCTTGCTCCAGATCCCGGGAAGACTGGTGGTCGGGGTCCTGAATGTTCAGCGCCACGCTGTGCAAGATGTCCAGGAAGAAGGGTTGGCCGTCAGCTGGTCGGCCTGTTTTCGGCGCCAGAATCTCCCTGATGTCCTCCAGCAGGTCCTCCGGGAAGGGATGTGACCCATCCCCCAACGAGAGCAACTCCTGGAGCTTGTCCCCCCACGGCGAAGTGAGGACACAGATCTTGGCCCCCAGCGCTGCTGCTTTGGACAGTGGCCGGGTCCAAGGGGCCAACCGTCCCAATGAGGGCTTTCCCCCTCCGTCCCTTAAGGGACGTTGTTTGAAGGCCATCTGAAGGTACATGACCTTGTCGGAGAGATTGGGGTCGTGCGTGATCGGCAGGATGGTGGGCCGATCCGAGATCTCCATGCCATGGTGTGCCCATGGATCCGGGGAAAGAGTTCCTTCCCCAAGTTTCTCCGCCTCTCCAGTCCTCTGTGTCGATGTCCGGACCTCCGGGTTGTCCGAGGCCGAAACCGGGAGTGAGCCCAAGGTTAGTCCTGCCAACGCTTGTTGGCCCGCCTTCAGCCTCCGGGACTGGCGCTTGTTGTCCCCCGGCGTGCTGGGAGAAGGTTCCCTCGGCCGCCTCGGGGGGGTCGTTGGGTTCGCCTGGGGCGCCGAGCCCCCCGGCCTCAGTGCCTCCAGGACGGGTCCCGCTCGGCACAGGATGGCCGCGGCGAGACCCTGCATCATCTGCTCTGGGTGCCGGCTGAGGTCACTGGAGTTGAGCTTTTCCCCCCTGGGGTGAGCCCCGTGGTTGCAACGCAGATCATGCCAGTGGTGAAGTGGAAGGTCCGTTGACAACGTCGTGGACTTCACAACCACCTGGCCCAGGCGGCACTCGTCAAACTTGATGAGGGAGTGGTGGAGTGCACTCGCCCATTGAATATAGGCCCGCGTGACCCAGATCGATGAGCACCTCGCTGCACTCGGGCTCTTGCTGCACTCCATCGGGTCCATCGGGTGCTCCAAGAAGGAAGAACCCATCTGCGGAACCGTTAGCTGACCTAGCCCCTTGCAGGCCAGCGAGGTCAGGTACATCTGCCGGAGCATGAGCACGCTGTCATTGCCCGTGTCCTCCATAACCCGGGGCTCCAAGCCCTCCAAGCCCCACAGGGTCTGCTCTGCTCTGCCCCTCACCGGCGGTGGGCCCCCCGGCTTGGGGAACCATCTGAGGATGCTCCACGTCCTGCAGTTGGGGCCGCCCCCCACCAAGGCGACCTTGCCCGCCATGGCCATGGAGCACATCGTAGAGTAAGGCTCCTCGCCCAGCATGTCCTGTCCAAGGTCTCCACCCTTTCGCCTGATGTCCACCGCCCAAATGTACTCCGAGAAGGCCGGGTTGTTGGCATGGAGGTAGGCATCCAGGGCCCCCGCATCATCCTTCCCCGCATACAGCAGGATGAGGGACGGCTTTGACGACTCCGGAACCGGCCGTGGCGTCCACCTCAGTCTGAGCCTCAGTCTTTCCGGGATGTTCTGCATCCATGGGAAGGTGGGGCTTGCCCTAGGGATTCCGTGTGTCCTTTGTCTGACCCTCCCGTCATCTGTCCCTGGGCTTGCTGCTTGCCCTGGCGGTTCTTCCCGCCCTTGGGACGCCCCTTGCCGGGCGGATCCTCACCTCTGGGTCTCTCTGAGGGGTCTTCCCACTGCCTCGGTGGGTGCGGGGGAAAGGGATGCTTCCGCCCTTCTGGAGTGCCCTGGCTGGGACCGCTCCTCTTCCTCGGTGGAGGGGCTTCCGGGGCCGGTGGCACCCTGGAGAAGTCCCCTCCCATCTGAGGCCGTCCTGGCCTCCCCCGCTCTGTCTGCCTTTCGCTGTGGCTCTGGTGGGGTCGGCTCCCCCCCTCTGTGTGCACTCTCGCACTGGTGGCCTGTGGTCCCAACTGAGACCGGGAAGCCACGGGGCCTATGGCACCCTGAGTGGCCTCCTGTCACTTGGGAAGGT